TCTCATATTCTGCAGTGAGAGATGACGATGAGCACGAACAGTCATAAATCACATGTAGTTCTGATCCGTCGCAAAGGGCAGCATCTCACACTTGTGTTGGATTCAGATTGATAATGCCGCTATCTGTTGGTATGTGTTCAATGCACTTCTTGCTCATGTTTAGACCTTTCTAACCTCCACATTTTACAGATTCTCTTATTTGATCTTATAATCTGCGCTAAAAATAAATATTTTTAAGAATAGTAATGATCACAATTTAAATGGAGATTGGGTTGTTATCTTTGTTTGGAGGTATGGTTTACGAACGTATTTCTACCGAACCAGCCGACGTTTCAATTCTTGGAACCCCTTTGACATTTCGCAACACCCGCAAGGCAAAGAATCGTTTTTTAAAGGTTAGTTCAAGGTGTGATATGGCCTTCTCCCATTAAAGTTGTTTAAGGCTGCATTGACGGAAAGACTGAGCACATGGAACGATGAAGATCTTTCAAAGAGGGGTATACCGACACAGGAGTTGATCAACATCTACGACAAGTGGGGAAATGGTGGATATGGTGTCGTCCTCACCGGAAATGTAGCAGTTGAGCCGGTAAGGTGTTTGTTATATTAGATTAGCAATTTACAATCGTATCACAGCATGATTCTTGACAACTTCAGCGAAACTTGGAGAGTGCTGGAAATGCGATAATATGCAGAGAGAATGATTCACCACAATTACGAAAAGCATTTAAGGAAATAGCCAAAATTTCAAAGCAGGATGGAGCCCTCATCATTATGCAGATTACCCATGTTGATTACGCTGTTAAAGCTTTTTTCACGAGAAAATTACTTTCGCCAATATTTCAGGCCGGTCGACAAACCCCTGTAGGAGTAAATGAGTATCCGTATTCTTCCTCGGATGTGCAACTATTGGGCTCTGGTATACAGTGTGGTAAACCCATACCTCTGGCTCTGGATCAGATTAAAACCGAAGTTGTTGATCGTTTCGTTTATGGAGCTAAGGTAGCATATGAAACAGGTATGTTTTGCTGTTAAACATCGGTAGGTTTACCCTTTTAGTCACCTTTCAATATGATTTCTTTCAATTACAATACTGACTCCGTATAAGAGCATTTTATTCCAAAGTTTCAAATAAACCTACGGATCTTTAAAGCATTTTTATTTGTTTAGGATTTGATGGGATTCAGCTTCATGCAGCTCATGGTTATCTCCTTTCACAGTTTCTTTCTCCTACTACCAATAAACGAACTGATAGATATGGCGGTTTGCTGGAGAACAGAGTTCGAATAATTGTGGAAATCTTCAAAGCTATCAGGTTTGTGGCCGCTTAATGCAAATCTTCCACGAGTGTGGAAGTACTTCTGTTGTTTGAGGAAAGAGATACCAGCAGCGACGGGCTTCATTGTTGGAATCAAGATAAATTCTGTAGAGTTTCAAGATGAGGGATTAACAACTGAAGATGCTAAAAAGGCCTGTGCAATTTTAGAGGTGAGCAGACGAAGAATGCTCCTCTTTATGAAAGTTTTTATGAGTGTCAAATTCTTTTCCAGGATTGCGGGTTTGACTTCGTAGAGCTTTCAGGAGGAACGATGGAAAAAATCGCTTTTCATCATGTACGCGAATCCACAAGAAGACGCGAAGCGTTCTTTCTCGACTTTGCAGAGCAGGTTCGTCCATCCTTATTCAATGCTTAGTCTCTCATCCATCAAATCCTGGACGAGCTCTCAACCATTTCATTTGTTTCGAAAAGCTATGCATCTCGTAGTCTAACCTTTCATGGGAAATGTCCAACGACAATCCTCCGAACTCCTACTTAAGCCTGCATAATTCAGATTCGCCCAGTTTTCAAGGAAACTATCGTTTACGTCACGGGTGGATTCCGCACTGCAAGAGGTATGGTAAATGCAATCGAAAGCGGCGCTACGGATGGCATCGGCCTAGGAAGACCCGCGACTGCAGAGC